ATATTATATTTATATTATCTCCTTTTCAGGAGAAAGAAGTTTGTCGTGTGCGACCCGCCGCTCGAAAAGTAGTTCTCGGATGAAAATTCGACAGCAAATTCCTCTCCTCGAAACCCTGCTGTAAGCATATACACGATTTTGGCTTTTGCACGCGACGTCGCATCGTTAGCAACGCTCTTTCCCTTTTCGCGATTTTTCTAACCGACTGCCATGCCATGCTAACCAGACGCGCACAGAATGTTGAAAGCGGTAAAAACGCGTGGAAAGAGTTCCGAAGGAAAATGGCGAGGATTGGATTCGTTTCGATGTGGTCGGAATTGTAAATCGTACAATTTTTTTTATATGCTTCTATAGAATCTTCGACAAAGAGGCCGAAACAATTCGAAGCCGGAATTTTGAAAAATTTAGTAACAATTCATGGTTTATAATATAATTTAATATTGCTTTCGATTGAAAGTAGATGTCTTTTTAATCTAAAATTAATTTGTGGAAATCCTTTTCCAATTAAAAATTAGTTACTACACGTAATACGTAGATCTGATGAAAAAATTATCTTCTTGATAACTCGTCTCTCATTTCCACGAGTTCATTTGACTGGCATTTGACTAATAAGAATCCTTGGAGTCTCATTTGACCGTATTTACCTTTGCCAAAGAAATCTCGAGTACTTTGTAGTTCGCATACTCGCGGTATAAGTGAACTTTTATTAACATACATATCCCTGTCCCGTAGTCCCATCAGCTTTCACCAAATTTTAATACCAAACGTTTGCAATCATTTTTATTCTCCCATTATAGAAACCAAATGTTCAATACCTTGCAATAAGGTGCTGCTTGGTCGATAGTCCACTGCCTTTTTAATTTACATTCGCTTGGATGAAAGGTTTTAAATCCTTTATGCAAAGAGAATCGAACGAATTTTCATTCTGAAATAAAAATTTTTCATCTAGTGTATTAAAAAATGGTCAAAAGAGATTGATCAATTTTCCGCCCCGTGTGAGAACGAAAAAATTTCATTATTAAATACTAATACAATATGAAATATTCAACTGACGTTTATTATATGATTTTGCTGCAACTGCAATATTTTTACTGTACAATATTTCAATCACCGGTTCACGGAACTTACTCCCAACGGGTGGGCAATAAATTTTATAGTTTACCTGGATTTAACAAACCGCTTATTTATGCAATCAACTGATAGCTAGATCGTGATTAAAGTTAAATACACTGTGAAGTTTAAACACGATCCCGATTCTGTCTCTCTCTACCTTTTCGGCATCCCTTAAATTTTCTGCAAAAAAGAAGTATTTACCTAACATACGTTTTTGTCCATTTTTAATTCAATTTAACCCGCGATGAGGGAAATTCTCGTGCTCTTCAATTAAAATATTCTTTTGATCAGCAAAACAGAAAGTCGGTTTTATATTAAGAGGAAAATGAAAATTAAAACACACATGTCTATATGCATATTTTTCTTGCCCTCTTAGAGGTATTTGAATTATTATATAACGCTATTTATGAAGCGACAAAAAATAAATATAATTGCGCTTATCGTCTTGACGCGAGGTGAAAACACTGCAGATGAGAAGAAGAGGAGGAGGAGGAGGAGGAGGAAACTCGAACAAAAAAGACACTCGCTGGAGGAGAGGGCTCGGTTTTAAAAGCGTTTTAACGCGAGCTAATTAAGTCGTTTTCGACCGGTCGGCAGAGGGGACGTGTGCCGTAATTAAAGTATTCGCCAGCAAATTATTTCCACCGATATAGCTCTGCCGGTGGCAGCTAGAAAGCTCGCTAAATCTTCGCGAGTCGACGTTTTCTAGCCACCAAGTGGCTCCGACGAACTTTAAATGCGAGCTATTTACTGTACCGAAACTGTACCACCATCGTTTAGCATTATAATCTTTCCTTTACGACCTGACTAGCTAATTTCAAACGAATACTTCACCTCCGACATACGAAACGTACATTGCTGACATTTGAATTCAATTTCTATATGCTATTTCACGTTCTCGGTATTCTGATATTCTCTACTATGGAATATCTATTTAATAAGAGCTTAAGTGAAGAATTTGTTAATTTTATATTCTACACTCTATATACGTCAAAGAGAAGCCAATCCTTACGACCGTATATAATATAATTCAAATTAGTCAGATTCCACTCCTCATTTTTGTGGCTGCCACTAATTAAGGATATAATTTTGTAATAGAGAATATAGTACGTTGGATGAATTTCTCTATTATATTATTTGGCAAGGAATATGAACGTAATAGAGGATGTTATAAGTGGTAGATGATTTCGACGAGTTATTTTCGAAAAATAGTGGGGCCGGTGAAGTAGTTACTGGAAAGCGATTCTCCGAAATAGTTGGATGAAAGTGGAACAAGTGGAGAATTACGTTTGACAAAAGACGATCGCTGAATCATGATCGTAAAAGGAAAGATCCATCTCTGAAATGGAATTAAAACGAAAACAGCGATTGTAAAGCTAAAAAATTGTATGAGACATATTTATGACAT